TTTTTCCTGGAAGTGAGGGATCCCCACTCTTTCCTCCCCTGCCGTGCAGCCGCCCGGGTCTGGATCTGGCCGTCCCCAGACGTGCGGGAAGGGGACACTGCCACCGTCACCTGCGCGGTGGCAGGAGGGGACCGGGACGTGCTGAGCTACACCTGGTACCGGAACCAGGTGTGGCTGGGCACCGGCTCTTCCCAAAATCTCACCTTCCCCGGGGTCACCACCTCCGACGCCGGCTCCTACCAGTGCTCCGTACGGACTCCGGCCCGGAACCACAGTGCCACTCCTGCCACCCTCAACGTCCTCTGTGAGTCCCCAGGTGACAGCTTCGTGTCACTTGGTGTCACCCCTCGGTCGGTTCCCGTGGCTGGAGAGATGGGGCAGTAAGGCCTGGTTTAATCGGCGGGGATTAATTAATTAGGGGAGCTCAGAAAATGTATTCCAGAGGATCATTAAGCTCAGCTTCATACCCCAGACCTGCCTGGAGACCCCAAAACCTTCTCCAAGTTTCCCTGTGCTCCACACCAAACCCAGCAGGAAAATCCTTGGCTTTAATACTGGATTTAGGACTTTTTTGTTTTTATCCCTAACTGGGAAAATTAAAACCAGACTTTGCTTTAAAAAAAAAAAAAGAAAAAAGAGGGGAAAAAATGTTGTTGCAAATCAGAACATGAGGGGGGTTTTCCCCAGTTTTTTATGTGAAAAAAATGGTGTTAATTTATAAATTATAAATATTAGTGATGAATGTGAGGCGGAAGCTCTGGAGCATGAGGAATCCCTGGCATGAAGGGCTTGGAGCTCCAGGAGGGCTGAGGGAGCTGGGAAGGGGCTCAGCCTGGAGAAAAGGGGGATCGGGGGGACCTTGTGGCTCTGCACAGCTCCTGCCAGGAGGGGACAGCCGGGGGCGATGGGGAACGAGGGGCGGGACAAAGGGACGCAGCCTCAAGCTGTGCCAGGAGCGGTTTTGCTTGGATATTGGGAATTTTGGAGTTTTTCCCACCTGGAAAGTCCAGCGGTGGAGTTCCATCCTCAGGATGTGGCGCTCGGGGACGCGCTCAGCGGTGGCCTGGGTCAGCGCTGTGGGACCCTTGGACTCCGTGAGCTCCAAGGGCTTTCCCAACCCAACCAATTCCACGATTATCCCTAAAAATATCCCCATATTTTTCCCGTCCCGCAGACCCCCCCAGGAACCTACGGCTGCAATCCTTCGTGGAGAGCAGCCAGGGGACGGCCACCATCCTGCTGTGCGCCGTGGACAGCCACCCCCCGGCCCAGCTCACCCTGCTCAAGGGGGGACACCCGGTGGCCTCCAGCCCCCCCAGAGGAGGTGACACCCCCCGGCAGAGCATCCGCGCGTCCCCCTCTCCCAACGCACTGCGCTTGGAATTCCGGGAAGCCTCCGAGGAGGATGAGGGTGAATACGAGTGCCAGGCACGGAGCGCCCTCGGCGACACCCACGCGTCCCTCACGCTCCGGGTGCAAGGTGAGGAGGGGGACAAGGGGCTTGGGGACACTGCCAGGGGCGGCGTTGAAGGCTGCAGGATTTGGGCTACGCAACTTTGGAGAGGCTGGAGGTTGGGGACACCAACTTGGGGCTGGGGGGCTTCAAAGGGAGAACGTGACCAAAATCCTCTCCGCTCCCCGCAGCCACCAGGGTGCTGGTGCGACCCTCGGCCGAGGTGGCGGAGGGGACAGAGGTGACCCTGACGTGCCAGGCCCCTCGCGCGCAGCCGGGGACCCTCTACACGTGGTTCAAGAACGGGCGGTGGGCGACAGAGGGACCCGAGCCCTCGCTGGGGCTCCGTGGCCACCGCTCCGACGCGGGGCTCTACGGCTGCCGGGCGGGCCGGGGGCCCCGCGCCACCCCCGTGGGCCTCGCCGTGCTCTGTGAGTGGGGGGCGACATCTCCGGGCTGGGGTGGGGGGACAGCAGGGGACACCAGGACACGCCACCCCCGCGGGGACAGCGCTGCCCGGTCTGTGTCGACACGCGGCCACAGCGCAGCCCCTCCTCGGGGGGAAGGGGACACAAGGTGGGGGACACAAGGGGGGACACAAGGGGGGACACAAGAAGGGGACAAGGGCTGTCCTTGTCGCCGCAGATGCCCCGCAGGAGCCCAGCTTCGTGGCGCTGGTGGAGCCCCGCGGGGGGCGACAGGCGGTGCTGCTCTGCTCCGCCGACGGTGTCCCCCCGCCGGACATCTCCGTGAGCAGGGGACAAGGCCACCCACCCCTGGCCACCAGCCACGGCTCCCCTGACCCCCGCTTCGAGGTCCGGGCCACCCCCACGTCGCTGCGGGTGGCGATGGCGGGGCTGGAGCCCGGCGACGCGGGGCTCTACCTGTGCTCGGCCACCAACAGCCGCGGCTCGGCCACCGCGGCCCTGCGGCTGGAAGTGCCAGGTGAGGTGTCCCCGAGTCCCCAAATGGCCGAGGTGTGGGGCTGTGACCTTCCCGGCCGCTCCTGGAGTCGCCAATGTCCCTCCTCAGGGGTGACGCTGGCGGTGGAGCCCTCGCAAGAAGTCCTCGAGGGCACCCGGGCCACCATGAGCTGCTCGGCCACCGCGTGGGGGGACAAAGGTGTCAACTACACGTGGTACCGCGACGGGCGGTGGCTTTGGGAGGGACCGAGCGGCTCCTTCGTCCTCGGCCGCGTGTCCAGCGCCGACGCCGGCTCCTACCGGTGCCAGGCCAGCGGGACATGGGGCACGGCCACCTCTGTCCCCCTCAGCCTCAGTGTCCTCTGTGAGTGTCCAAGCCACGTGTCCCCATTCCCTGTCGCTCGTGTCACCTCCGCTAGGCCGAGGAGAGTTTCCTCCTCTTCCTCTTCCCGCCCTGCTTCCCTCCCTTTGGGGATTTTTGGGGATTTTTTAAAAGGCAGATTTGGGGCCAAAATGCTCCAAAATGGAGAAATTCTCTGGCTGGGTGTGGAATGAGGAGCTGAGGAACATGGGAAGCCACCAGGGCTTGGATGGATGGGGATGATCCA